GGGGGGGGGGGGGATAAATTCAGAGAAACCAGTCTGTATTGCACACAAACATCAATTTCACAAAACTATGATCCGAACCAGCAGAAACTGTAGCTATGTAAAATCTGAGCTGTGGATGTAAATGAGATGCAAATAGCGCTTCATTAAACAGTTGTACTTTAACCTGCACAAGACATTAAAGGAACATTCTGGGTTTGACAGAAGTAGTTCAGCTCTTCAGTTTTTTGTGGTCCAATGGCAAAGAAAATCATCTTGACTGTCCCTCATTTTGTAAAAAAAAGTCTATTCAGGATAGCATTGCACTAGGATACACGTTAAAACACAACGTTTTTGAAAATATAGCTGTGACGCTTAAATATGTTCTATCGCAAAAAAAAGGGAAGCACTCATTTTTAAAAATTCATAATCTGAACTCATGTCATGTAAAGCCATTAAACACTATAAACTCTATAAATAAAACAAAGAATGCTATCATCCAGCAAGGATGCATTAAATTGATCAAAAGTGACAGTAAAGAATTATTTTACAAATTATTTCTATTTAAAATAAATGCAGTTCTTTTGAAATGTATCAGAAATACTATCCACAGAAACATTAAGCAGCACAATGTACAATGTTTTCAACATTGATGATAATGAGAAAGGTTTCTTGAACCCCAAATCAGCATATTAGAATGATTTCTGAAAGACAAATTAAAATGATTTTAACAAAACAGCCTGTATCAAACCCAGAACATTATTTTAAGAAAACATCAAAGCACTAACAACTGCTTAACTTCCATTAGAACCCTTCATATATTTCTGATAACCTACAACTGGACTTATTCTTGTGTGTGTGTGGACAGTCCATACCTGTGCCGGCTGTGTGCTGCTCATTATTTGGATGATGGTTATTGTTCAGCACTCTCATGGGTGGCACCACTACGGTCCTCACTGCAGGTTTATTCAGCGCTGTGCTGGGGTGTCCACGCCTAGCCTGGGGTTCCTGGTTCTGGTTCTGATTGGTCAGGAAGCGTCTTTCAGGGAAGGGGCTGTCGTGAGGTCCTAGGGAGGAGTCTGAAGGGGGCGAGCCGTCTACAGTTTCACACCCACTTTCATGGCCGTCATCTTCCGATATACTGCAGTAAGTCACAGGAGAAAAAACAAAAATAAAAAAATATATACAAAACATTTAGACTCCACCTCACCTCACAGTTCTACTGGTGTTAGTAGTTAGGAAAATACCACACCTGCTGGGTCTTTTGCATGGCGAGGGGCTGGATTGTGCCGAGGCTGAGGAGCTGGTGCTCAGACTGCTATCAGGACTGCTGAGGGAACACGCTCGCTCCATGTTCAGAGAGCCTGTGCATGCCTCACACTCCGGACTGTCCTTACACCTGTCAAAGGACACACTTGACTCAATTTAGCTATGAGATCCATATGTATGCAAACAAAACAGAATCTGAAATTTTAATGCAAGTCCACAATTTACAGTATTTTCATGTAACATTGTTTATTTAGCTGAAATATACTTATGTTGGTCAAAAAGTAATAAATTAGCTTCACCCTCTCACTGATCCTCAGAATTAAAGAGGGTGCTACTGCACCTTTAAGAGTTATATATGCAAATGGACCCCGGCTATTCTATTTGTGAGTGAAATGGGTCACACCACCCCACCAAGTTGCAGACTATACATTTTAGTTTTTTTAGGGAAGGGACATAAATTAATCCTTTTGATCTATTTAATGTATCAATGCTGAATAAAAGTATAGAAAATTGTAAATAAACTGATAAATGTTACAAAAGACTCATTTAAAATAAATGCTGTTCTTTTGAACTTTCTATTCATGCATAAAACGTATCAGAGTAATTAGCATTAAGCAGCACAAATGTTTCCAACATTAATAAGAAGAAATGTTTCTTGTACCAAATTAGCATTTTAGAATTAGTGACACTGAAGACTGGAGTAACAGCTGCTGAAAATTCAGCTTTGACATAACAGGAATAAATTACATTTTAAAATACATTAAAATAGAAAACAGTTATTTTGAATTGTTAAGAAACTTCAGAAAAAAATACTGCATAATGAATGTTCATCTCACTTGTTAAGGGAGCACCTCTGTGCTTGTTCCTCTTCATCTGTGCCGCTGCTTATGCTAATGATGCTAACTGCCGGGCTGGGTGACTCTCTGATAATAGACTCTCGCTGCTGATTGGCCACTGCCGTTTTACAGCAGCTCTCCTCCTCCACCTGCTCCGGTTCTGGTTTCACCTGGGCCTGCACCTCTCTGTCAGGAGAGCTCGGCTGTGGCTCCGCACTCGCCAACCTGTCTGCCATCTTTGGTGACGGACACACTGAGGGCTGGGTGTCCGTGTAGTGCAAGACATTCATACTCCTAGAAAGCAACAAAAATTATTATGTTCAGTCAACTTTACCTTTCGGCTAAACATTAGACTAAAAACCCGAATGAGCTGCCTAACAAGAGTATCATAAGGTTCGAATCAATGGTTTTTGGGCCCCCGCCAATGACTGTAGGCTCTTGCTCACCTGTTATGGCTGGGTTTGTTCCTCTTGTTAGATGCAGGCTGAGGCCAGACCACATGAGCAATGCCAATGTTTATAGGCTGATGGGCTGACACAGCCATTTGGTTGGGAACAATAGCCTGGGGCATCACCGAACTGTAATGGCTGCTGTGTGGCCGCACTTTCCTTTAACAGATAAACAAACAACACATTTTAGGTCACCAAAACGCTCAAGAGGTGGTGTCAGCTCATGATATTTGAGGTGTTTCTTGATCTTCTTACCCCCAGTCTCCTCGCCTCTGCGGTCCAACAACTGAATCGGATGCCAAGCTCGTAGCAGGTGGCGGGACCTGCTGCCAAGCTGGCACCAGGATCTGTGGAGTCCTGTTGGACCATGGTTGCTGAAAGGTTGAAAAAGGACAATGCTGAACCTTTGTAATGTATCTGGCTTTGAGTTTAATATTGAAACTGGTATGTCAACATGGATAACAACCCTCGGCTGTTTTCCATTATTTTTCCACATCATCTTGTGAAATGAGGACTTACTTGTGCTATAACTCCTGGTCTCATGGGTAAAGGCTGGATAGCTGGGGCTTGGGTCACCAGAGAAAGAGTGTTCTCCATTCGAACCGAATATCCTGCTGGCTGATTTGGGTTTGAAGGGATTCCTGTAGAGTCAAACAACCAAATCAGCTCCACACAATATTTATTACACTGAAAACCAATAGTAATGCTCAGTTCAAATTAGGGCTGCAATATTAATTTTAATAAATTCTAAATTTGCAATAACAATATGTCGCTTATAACATGCATTTAAGAATGCAACATGCAACTTGGACTTATAAAGCATTTATAAACCAGCTGTTTGTCCACAAAAGAGGAGCTTTAAGATTTCCCTACGGTTTCCACTATTATAAAAGCTTGATGGTATAATGTTTGAGAAAAAAAGAAATTAAAGACAGCCATAAATATTAGGCTATCATTTTTAAGTTGTACTGTAAAATAAAATGATCATATAAGTATTATTTTCTTAAATACCAGATTTTTTTTACAGTGAAATATTAGAAATAGTTCTTATTACTAAAAATTATAAAAAAGTAATTGTTATTTTTAATTGTTTTAATTTTAGTTGTTTTATTATTTTATAATAATAATATGGTAAAATAATATTAATTATTTCATTTAACAGTACATTTATTATCATAATCATCATTATTTTATAATCATATTAATTTTTCTATAGAAGCATTTATAAACTGGCTGTTGTAACAAAAAAGGAGCTTTAAGAGCTCCCTACAGTTTCTGCTAAGTTAGAGCTTGATGGTTTAAATAAAGAAAGTAAGACAGCTATAAATATTAGCACTGTAAAATTATTATATTAGTATTATTTTTCTTAAAGTGAAATATTTATTACTAAAAAGCATTTCTTATTTTGTTTAATATTTTAATTTAGTAGCAACAGTAGTAGTAATCATAATAATAACAACAATTATTACTTTTACAGTAAAATTACTATCATAATCATCATTATTTTATAATCATCTTTATACTGTGTGTATATATATATATATATATACCATTTTTGAAAATCACAACTTAAAATTCTCCATTATTTCCACAAACTGTGGGTTTCTGCAGGTTTCATGAAGGTAAATTCAAGACTTTTTTTAAAGGTCATTTTAAGACCAAATAAAGAAACTTTAAGGAATCAACTGGATTTTTCAGTGCAAATGTCTAAAGATTTCTAATTCGATAAGCAAAATGACACAAGTCTTGTTTTCTGTGAAATTGATCAAAATGAAGTGAGTGTGGAATTAAAACAAGAACCAATTATCTGCCAATGAGCTCAGCAAAGCAACTTAATTCAAAGGGGAAATTCATTTTTTAACCACTTAATTGTCACTCACATAGTTGAGGTATACCTATGATGAAAATTACAGGCCTCTCTCATCTTTTTAAGTGGGAGAACTTGCACAATTGGTGGCTGACTAAATACTTTTTTGCCCCACTGTATATGTGTGTATATATATATATATATATATATATATATATATATATATAACAAAGTTTTAGGCCAAATTGTGCAGCCCTACAAAATACAAACTTTTTTTTAAATCACATTTTAAATCGTAATCACTATATTTTTAGAAATATAATCATATCGACTTACATAATCAAAGTCTTAGGCCAAATTGTGCAGCCCTACAAAGTACAACAAACTTTTTTTTTTTTTTTTTTAATAACATTCTAAATTGCAATTTTTAGAAAAATTCCAATACGATTTTTTCCCCCTAAATCATGCAGCCCTAGTTCAAATTATCATGCACATCCCATTACCTTGAAGAGCAGGAGGGCATAGAATGAGCGCCTGCTGAAAGGAATCATTACACCCAAACTGGGCGCTTCCTGTCTGGATGGGAATTCCTGGATGCACCACAGGTGGAGCAGATGGCGCCAGGGTCTAAAATGGAAAGGTAAATAGATCAACGATTAGGAACAATCTGTTGTCTTCTTGTTTGCACTTAAAACCCAAGTCTTTTCAGAGTGTGCGCTTTTACCTGAGAGTGGACAGACAGCATTTTGTTGAAGGCGACAGTGATATTTGGAGCACTTGGAAGCGTCACAGGCTTCATAAGTGGGGGTGCTTTGTTGCGGTTGAGAGTATTGTACATGCTGGTTCTTGTGTGACACACGTCCATGATGTGGAAACAAGACTGGACACTGTTGGAGACACATTCCTTGAGAATGACCACACATAATAGACAAAACAGTCAGTGAAACTGGCATTAAAAATGTCAAAACATACTGATTGCAATGGGGGAAATCCATCAGGTGCTGCATAGTGACAAAAGGGTGGGTAAGTGCATCTGAAGGGGCGATTCTCTGATCTGCATCAATCATCAGCATCATCTTTAACAAGTCCACGAATTCTCTCCTGTCAGCTTTCTCCGCCAACTGGTCACAGCCCTCCATGTTGAGCATTAGATTCACCTGATAAATGAATACACAAATAAAAAATACAATTATTATCATTATTAATATTATTACTGCATAAAACAACAAAATAACATCAATAAATTACAATTATTATTATTGTTTGTTTTTATTACTATAATTATTTTTTTCATATAATAGTATTTACATAGTTATAACAATAATAATATAACATCATTATTTTATATACACACAATATAAAACAATATTGTATTCACAATATAATTATATTATTGTATATAAATTATCATTAAAGCGCCAGTCCGCAAGTTTTGCCTCTTTGTCGCCATCTCTGTTCGAAAACCTTCAATTGCAGCTATTTGCGGAATTATCTTCCTTGCGTGGGTTGTGCACCGGCACGGCTCCAGCACAGATGAATCTAATGTGGCTGTCAGTCTGCAGATACTGCACTTTGTATTCACAGATTCTACATCTTTAAAGTAGGACCCAAATAAGAGTTTTCACTGGAGAATGTCATCTGAACAAGCAAGTCCCAACTGCCACTTTTGTTCTGATCAACTGAGGTAAAAAAACATTACAATAAATTGCGCTATCAATGGTGATTAAATCTAATGATCAGTTAGCTCATATCACATCTTGCGGTGCCAATTATTATTTTTGTTATACTTGGTTTTCAAATTGTTGATGTTGCATGAGCATTGTGAGAGTGTGTATTTAGTGTGTATTAGTGTTATTTGTAGATTTCAATTTCTGTACAGTCTAATCTCTAATTGCCATACCATTCAAATTTCATATAAAGAAATTATTCTTTTAACCCAAAAAGCAAATCAAAGTTCCTTACAACTCGTTCTCTTTGAAATAAATATTTTTAGTACAGAGTAATCCCACGCACCTAATCAGATGGACATTTAAAACTGGAATATAATATAATTTCAGTCATTATATTTTTCTGTAGCCACTTCTCAGTACGAATTCTTTTGGTTTTGACTATGGGTGACTCAAGTCACTGATGATTGTCGTTTCAACCTTTCTGGACTACAATCCGCAATTTATTCCAGCTGCTGTGAGAAAAGGCTTTAAACGATCCGTCACCTGCAGCATACTCATGTGTGATATAGCATACTAACCGGGACAACAACTTTGTTTTCAGACGTGACGTAATGATGCAGCGTCATGCTCGTATTTCCCATGAAAACCTACCTATACCACTCACTCCAACTCTATTAAAAGCGTACCGTTGTGAATCAAGCTAAAGGAGATCGCTTTGAACACTGGCTGGTTATGTACTTGTTTAAAAATTGATTTTGGATTTTTTACCAAAAAAAGTTTCAGACAGCAGCTTTAATATTGTTATTATTATTATTAATCATTATTACTATAATAAAAATAACATATTACAATATAACCATATATTATTTATAATTATAATTATTATTCTCTATAATAATAAGTGTTAAAATTATTAATGCATGTCATTAATATTATTATTATTGTTAACTATTATATACAGCATTATTATTCATATAATCATTATTATTATTATTATTAATAGTTATTAATATTAATGCTATATCGTAATAACAGCAGCAGCAGCAATAATAATAATCTCAATTTCGCAACATTTTTTTTCCCTCATGATGATTTGCAAGCAAAAACGTACATGTCCAATGTCATCTAGACAGCTGAAAATGTACTTCCTCGCCTCCTTGGACTTCAGTCCCGTTTCTGTCTCATGTTCTTCAGTCGTCTGCAGAAACAGGAAGCACGTTTGGAGTCATTACATAAGAACTTTACCTCAAAACTTTATGTGGAGCAGAGAGCAACTCGATCCAGAGAGCTATGCTGTAAGTTTATGACAGCAATGTCTGGTTAAGTGGATGAGAAATGGACCCTTGCCTTCAGTCTCCAGGCGGTGTATGGTGAATCAGACTCCTTGATGAAGAATCGGGCCGTCTTCGTCCCCACGTTCAGAAGCTGCTCTCCTGGCAACCCTTGAGTTTGAGAGATGTAACGAATCTGCAGAGATGTTTATAGTATTAGTGGATCTCAACATTGTCATTTCTGATAAGACAAGTAAAGCTAAATCCATCCATTCTTGACAAGAATCTCTTGAGTGATTCACAAAGCATGCCACAAGATGGTAACGTGTGTAGTACTTTTCCACTATTCCAAGAGGAAGTAATGCGAGATAAGACTGGTCTAGAATAGGCAGGTCCCTATAAGTGGTATGCAGCAGGAAAACTGTGCCAAAATACCAATGAACCATTCAGAAAGGTTTTGTCTTGACAAGTACATTCGTACCATAACCCTAGTGGCTTACTAAAGATAAAAATGGCTTGAATTTATTTGTAGGCAACAAATATTCATTGACGTCACCAGTGATTGCGCATCTTCAGGTTGAAAAAAGAAAAGAAAAGAAAAAAGGTTTCAAGAAGCTACAAACCACACAGTGATATCAATCAACATGAATCAGCAAAAACTGCTACGATATGCACAAAAAAAGAGAGATAAAAATAAGCAAATAACTTCAGTTGTTATTTCAAGCCCTGAGTTGAGTTTCATGATAGCTAGGCTTGGAAAGCCCAGTGTTTCACTCTTAATACAGAGCGCAGTACGGGGTCTGCCGCTACTCAAGGCTTTGTTAAGATGCCAAGTCAAGATGCTGGCCCCTCTTTGTGCCCACAACAGATGTCAATCCTCTCACACCGAACAGTCAAGCCAATTCTGGGCTTTCGAACACTGAACAGAAACGGTTAATTTTGATTTAGTTTTAGTCATAGTCTTTTGACAAACTAATATTTATATTTGTCATCTGAATTGTTTATATTTTAGTTTTAGTCGACTAAATCTAATGGGTTTAGTTACAGTGTAATGCATTTATTAAGCATTTGTCTAAAATTTCCAAACTCATTATATAGGTTTGATATTAAGGTTTTATCATGATAGACACAGATTTAACTGCTGTGACATAGACCATGCCTTTGTATTAAAATGAAATAAAATCACTTCTCATAAAGAAACAAGAACATGGTCCTGCTTTCACTGAAATGCCAATGGTTAAATAAGATGCGTTCTTTATAACAACTTGCTTACCACATTCTTTCAAGCAGACATTTATATTTATATGAATAAATTTAGATTAATCCTTATTAGGGTTATAAAGCCTTATAAAGCCATTCAGTCAAGAGCAGAGAGTGATTTTCTCTTTAGGATTACAGCATTTATTTGAAATAGTTATACAGTTTTCACAAAAAATATTAAGCAACACAATTGTTTTCAACACTGATGATAAGAAATGTTTCTTGAGCACCAAATCAGCATTTTAGAATGATTCCTGAAGGATCATGTGACTCTGAAGACTGGAGTAATAGCTGCTGAAAATTCAGTTTTACATCACAGGAATAAATTACATTAAGACATTGAAATAGAAAACAGTTAGGCCTATATAAGATTTTTTTTTCAAAAAGACAACAATCTAACAGAACCCAAACTTTTGAAAGGTAGTGTAGCTTGTGCACTGTTGATAGTTAATTGATATAGATTTCATTTTATTTTGCAGTTTTACATCACAGGAATAAATTACATTAAGACATTGAAATAGAAAACAGTTAGGCCTATATAAGATTTTTTTTTTCAAAAAGACAACAATCTAACAGAACCCAAACTTTTGAAAGGTAGTGTAGCTTGTGCACTGTTGATAGTTAATTGATATAGATTTCATTTTATTTTTATCAGCCATAATAGCTCACACAGAGAATTTGATTAAAATAATTGAAAGATTGATACAAATAAATAGACAAAAACTGCATTTAAAAAAGGATTTTAAATAAATAGACAACACCACACACTGTGTTTACAGTTAGATAATAAAATTATCTGTAAAAATCAAATCAGGTGACAAATATTGCCCTCGGTTTTGATTATTCAATCAACAAAACACAGAAAACTCATTTCTGGATATGGTCAATGACCTTAAGACAGCCTTGTTTTTCCATTTTAATAGATTTTAATAGCTTGTCTAACTGAACTTTGGTTCGTAGTTACAGACCCTTTGGTTATCACCTCAGATCTTTAACCATTACACTACATTTCTCCTTTTTTATCTACATATGACTTAAATTAAGAATAAAAAAATCTACTCAGCTGCTTGAGTGTTGTGATTTGTTTGCCATAGCATCCTTTTATAAATACAAGCAATGACTTCATAACGCAAATAACAGGACAAAGGCATTAAACAGTGTTTGGTTAACAACAGCGCTGTCTTTTTAGGGAAGGCAGGAGCAGTTCAACCACACCAATGCATGAGTCTCTGTGTAAAAACACCATTGTTCTTGTTGCCTTGGGAAACCAAGCATTACTGGTCAGTGAACTCTGCAGACATTTGCCTTCAAGCGTGCATCTGTTGCTTCTCAGAAAGACTGTCATAGTGGGCCTCTACCAGTGAAAACACAAGCCACTACAAAGCCCTCTTTGGCTGCTTGCTCTCATTCCTCTCCGTCTCTTCCTCTCTCGACTATGACGCCACCTCTCCTTTTACAAGCACTGAGGCTCAACACCGCCATGTTAAACAAGCAGTGTTTATGGCATCTTAGGGGTGTTAGAGTGACATGATCGGGTTGCCAAAGCGCTGCACAAACACCGAGCGCGCTGAAGTGAGAACCTGCTGATAGTGCAAGAGAGTATGTATGTGTCAGTGGGGCTTTCGGGTTATAAATACATTCTGCTGTGTGGAGTGGAACTGGACCCATTGCTGGCACGGGTAGGCGGCCCGGAGTCTGTGGTCAGCAAACCCAAACCAGCCTATTCTCACATAGCCAGCTAGTTTTGCTACTGTCATACGCGCCATTTACACCACCTCAGACATCTCGTTTATCAGCAGCACTGGTCCATGATGGTAAACGCGCTCACACTTTTTTCATATGTGTGAGTCATCTTTCATGTTATGAGAAGAAATTCGCTTTAAGTATCGAGTTGACAAACCTGATAAATAAAACTAGTCCATTACAGAATTTGCAAACTTTTTTTTTTGTGCGCATATTTTGCAATTGTTGGTGGAGAAATCTATTAAATACCACAATACACTGTTACTGATGGCTAAAAATACTAGCCAGATTGTTTGATAAAAAAAAAAATTGCATTTAAATTAGCATAAATTCACAAAGTTATCTACCTGCACCAAGATTCACAATTGTCAACTAATTATATCTAGATTCTAAATACTATATATAATACTAGTTTACAGATTACTTATTTACATATATATATATATATATATATATATATATATATATACACACACACACATACACATACACATATATATTATAACATTAAATTATATATTTTATTTTAAGAGATCATCCTGGACTTACCCTAATAAAACAAAGACATTTTGGTTTTATTTTAGTTTATTATAATTTTTTTTTTTTTTTTAAGATTTCTTTTCATTCATTATTATATATTAAAATAAATTCATTATATAAGGAAATAAGTAATATGTAAACTAATAATATAATATAATAAGTATTTAGAAACTAGATATACTTACACACACACACACACACACACATATATATATATATATATATATATTTTTTTTTTTTTACAATTTTATGAAATAATTTTTGGAGGCGGTTACTAGAAAAAAAGAATCTAGATAAACTCAGCTGTCCAAAACCCACTATTGGTCAATCTCTAACTAGCTTGCTGTGCATTACCTGTCTTACAGTTTGAGCTTTGCAACACGACTTGTGTTAAGATGCTGAATTCAAGTTAAAAATAGTCTCTTTTAAAAACAAGTCACAAGACCCCTGCATCCTGTTTTATTACAAAGGCATCCACCAAGATTTTGAAAATGCATAGTTTTGCACAATCCTGCTGCTACTAACGATGAGAAGAAACTCATCACAAAGACTTACTCTGAAAAATCGCAAATTATGTCATCCTCCAAAATGCTGCCCATTAGTGTCGCCCCGACGCAACAAAGTGGGTCATTATCCGAGATCACTGGCTGATCTTACCTGGTCATACTCCAGCGCTCCTGGATAAAGCGGCCAGCCCAAGAAGAGCTCAGCGATGACGCAGCCCAGTGACCACGTGTCTATGGCCTCACAGAAGGGTAAGCCCAGGATGATCTCTGGAGCCCTGGAACACATTATCAGGAAAGGATGAGAATGAATGGAGTGGTTACCTTGACAACAGGCTGTTGATTGAAAAGCAGTGGGAAACTTCATTACGAAAGCTCCAGAGAAGGATGAACAAGCCTTTGTTTGGATTAGCAAAACGCTGCAATATGAATCAAACAAATCATTATGATAATACCAAGATGATTTAAACATCATCTAATATTAAATGTAACATTTAATATGATTTTATGACACAGTAGTTTGGGTTTGAGACACCCATGTAAGACTCATCTCATGCTCACTTAAGATCAAGAGTCATGTTTCACGTCCATATTGATATGATCCTGAGCCTAATGACGCAGCATCCCTGGTCTGATGAAGCATGAGTCTGCTGTTGGACCTGGGCTTTGACGTCAATGGGCCCATACACATCTGCTACCGTGACAACCGGAGAGAAAATGCTGGCTGCCTAGCGACAGATGAGGACGGATCTAAACACCAAATCTGGGTGATGACAGAGGAGGAGTCTGATGACACACTATTAACCCTGGTCACCATTAATAATCAACCACAGAGCAAACTCCTCGGGCACTAAAGCTCTGCTGTATGTCCGAGCTTCACACATGTAGCACCTAAAGGATACACAGTTAAAACAGTAACTGTTGTCAAAGCTATTGATACCAGAATATGTCATGACAGGTCACTAGTAAGCAGCTGTAACTACCAACAGTACCCTACCTGTGTGGTAACAAAAGCCGTTGTGAATAATTCACTAATGGCGTGGCTATGTGATACTGCCTTTTAAATTCAAGGATTTGAAATTAAGTTACAGGTTTTTCTTTATTGCATTTTTTTGTCTACACAATTATGCCGTCTTTAGTCTTCCTAGACAAAGGTGTTACAGCAGCAAATGCTGAGATTCATTTTAAACTGCTCAACCCATTATTTGCACACACAGAATGACGTGTCGTCAAAGAGTCAAACAAACAACAGTGCTGGGATTGTCTACACAGCGCAATGCTAGGTGCATTTGTGCAGCTATCAGTGGAAGGGACAGCTGTACAGTATTTTAAATGCAAAGCGAATAAGAAAAAAATGCAATAATCTTGTAAGGTTTTGGCTGTGAAGCAAAGTTTAATTGTTTACTGTTGGGGGAAAAAAATTAAGTACCTTTCATGTGTATTACTGGAATATCCAAACAACAAGAATGACATTATTATTATTATTATTAATAAACAACAATTATTATTTTTGCTAAATGTATTTAAATAATAATAATAATAAAATTATTTAATTTAATACAGCTAGGCCCAGACAGAATTTACAGGGTTATTTCTTATAAAAACACATATAATAATAGTAATAATTATAATTATTTGACTGAGATTAATATTGTTTTCATTATAATAATGACTAATATTAATATATTTGAAATAAAAATAATTTAATATAGCTAGGCCCAGACAGAATCTGCAAGATTATGTTTATTATAAAATATATTTAAGTAATATATAGCAACAGTAACACATTATTATTAGTGATGGACCGATACCACTTTTTCCAGTACTCGCCCGATACAGATACTTTTAATTTTGGTACTTGCCGATACAGAGTACAGATACCAATATTTTTATTGCATTTGTAAATTTTTTTAAATATTGGGTACAGAAACCAAAATAGTATGTATAATGTTAGTTGGTTAACTTCATTTACCAAATAAATAGTCAAACCAAAATGTATTCAGACAACTTCAACATTTCTCACATTATAGTTTATTCGCTATAGTTTAGAAAATGGTAATAAAATATAACAAGAACGCAGAGTTAAACTGAGTCAGAACAAATTCAGCTTGATAATGTTAGATAACTTTGATAGAAAGGTATGTTATGGATTACAATCAACCAAAAATTAGACAGCTGTTAGTATGACAGTATTTACACAACTATCAATACTTAGTCGGGCAACCCTCTGTTAAGATGGAGTCGTTCTTCAAACATTACAGTAGACATATTTTGGTTTACAAACTGTATTGCTCATCAGTTAGTCACATTAGCACTCGACTAACATATCAACCATTATTATTTTAAGTGTTCACAGTTTAGCAGCTAAACTTTAGCTGTGGGCACGATTCGCTTGCATAAATGTTTTTGTATTTTATGTCATTATTATAAGAACGGACTGGAGCACTATATTATTGTTTTATGCAAAGGTGCTTTGTCAGTAGCGCTCGTTAACTTGCTCAAGGACTCCTCTCTGTGGCAATCACAACAGGCTTGGCCAGCTGACCAATCAGAGCAGAGTAGGGTTATGGAAGGGAGGGGTTTGCTCCGAACTTGCTTGGAATGAATCATTTCGAAATCATTGGCAAATGACTGTAATATTACATGTATATTCTGAGAAAATTACAATGTTTTCTGAACTTAGATGCATTTAAACCTGTTGTAGGGGACTCCAACACATTAGGACACTTTAAAATACCATATGACCTGCTCTTTAAGAACTCTACAGACAGTTGTTGTTTTCACAGAACTACTACCATTTCAAGCACTGCGGTTATTAAAACTGTGACACGAGAGGCTATTTTCTGCCCTGGTAACAGTTTGGCTTAGCTGACAGTACAAACATGAGTATGTTTGGCACAGTGACAAAACAAATGGAGTGCTCTATATTCTGCACAAGATCTTACTGACTAAACCCCAATAAACCTCCAGCATAGCGATGGGCAAACAGACTAAATCCAAAGCCTAACATAAGTTAAACATACTACCATGCTTCGGCTGCACAGAGAAATCCAATAGCAAGGGGCATTGAAGGACAAGAGGGTATTAGGCCAGACCTTAAACGATAACACTGCCAAATTATATTGTAACCGCAATTGGTTTCCACTCAAAAAATGTACTCAGGTTTAAGAATGCTATTTACATCATTGTGGTTTTGCAAATCTTTAAAAAAAAAAAAAAAATTCCCATCAGCCCACAGTCAGCAGGAAGTCGCATTTCAGGTAAAAGAATCAGGGGAAGTTGCAGAAATCAGGTAAAAAAAAAAAAAGATGACATAACACGGCAGGTCTGGACTTCCCAGCTCAAACAAAGAGAGTTACTGTTAATACTATTTAAAGGCAGCAATTGCACCCGCGTTATGTTTGCTTGAGTCCAGGCCAGACTTCAAATGTTCAAGCCTTTTCCCCTGGAGTAAGATTAGATTTCATAGGGCTTATTTCAGTGCAAAGCTCAAGTTGTAAACAGCAGCCAAGAACAGCGTGGATTAAAACAAACGGTGTGATGTTATTCTCATCATTTCTAATTTCACACAACTACATGCATACAAATATTTGATAACATGTTATTAAGTAAATGCTGAGATGGTGATATTAGGGCTGCACGATTATGACAAAAACCATAACTGTCTATAATTCCCTTGAAATTGTAATTGCGATTATCAATTACGATTATCATTGAATGATGTTTATATCATTGTTTGAAGCAACAGCATGCCATTTTTTAGATGAAAATAAGAAAGCTGAAAACACTCTGAACTGAAAAACTTGTATTGCTCTTCTATAGTATAAAGCCTCAAATGTGAACTATACATTGGATTAGTTTCTTCTTTAAATACTTTTTTTTTTAAGTAAAAATAATTATGGTATTATAATGTTATACTAAAACTTACATTAAAACAATGGGAAAACCCTTAAGATAACCTGTAGAAAGAAAAAGCTTAAGCATGCAGAAAATCATAAGTGTACTTTGAACTAGGGCTGCACGATTAATCGAATGCGATTGTCATGCGCATTTTGATAGTAATGCCGGTTCTGTAATCAGCAGGAAATCATCATCATGTGCTTTCAGATGGAGCAGAATTTACTACACAGAGCCGTAGTTCACTGACAAGTTACGCAAAAAA